CACGCAAGTTACCCAGGTGGTGGCACAGCTTCCTCTTGGTCCCCCAGCTGTCACACAGCAACCGGGGGTATCATTTTGAAATTCAATTAACTCTCAAAATTCAATTAATCTCTCTCTAGTTAGAATAAAACTCAGCCTCCACCCGGGAGCTGTGGGGGCCCTGCTACCCTCCCAACCCTTACCTCCCCCATTGTCCTAGGTTACTCTGCTCCTGCCAGCTCCCTTCCTGTCTCTCTAGGTGCCGACTCTGCCTCAGGTCCTTGGCACCCGCGGCTCCCACTACTGGGGCCGTCCCTCTCCATTTGTCGTCGTTTTTTGTTTTTTTTAAAATATATTTTATTGATTTTTTACAGAGAGGAAGGGAGAGAGAGAGAGAGTCAGAAACATCGATGAGAGAGAAACATCGATTAGCTGCTTCCTGCACATCTTCCACTGGGGATGTGCCCGCAACCCAGATACATGCCCTTGACCGGAATCGAACCTGGGACCTTTCAGTCCGCAGGCCGACGCTCTATCCACTGAGCCAAACCGGTTTTGGCTGTCGTCCTTTTTTAAAAGCCACTTTCAGGGCCTTTTCTGCCCATCTCCTCTATCTAGACTTGGCCTTGGCAGTTGTCCTTGATGGCCCTCATAGTACTCCTGTGACACAGCCACCTTCAACTGACCCTGAGCACCCCACAGGGTGAGACCATCCTGGGCCAGCCCTCAGGGATGCAGAAAAGGCTGTGTGGGCTTGGAGCACTCAGCGTGGGACCCAGTCTTGCCCACATCCAGACCTGCTTTTATCACCCTCTGTGCCTGCTCCAGCCTTGGCCCCCACCCTGGATTTGCAGGTTCTGCTGGCTAAAGAAGGGCCAGGGCAGGCTCACAGCCAGAGAGACTCCAGGCCCTGACCCACCTGCAGCCGACAGGTGATAAATGCAGGGCCCTGTGGGAGAGGCTACTAAACGCTCACTGGGCCTGTGCCTCATATTGTATACACATTGATGCCCATTTGGCAACTAAGGAACATGCAACTCAGATATCGAGTCACCTACCCAAGGTCACCTGCAGGACACTGTTGGCCCATAAGCCGTTTTGGAGAATCTGCCCTCAAGATGGACATAGCCTGAAGTGTGGACTGGACTTTAAGCCCCACTCAACCTCTTGTCATGTGCAGAGACCTGTCACATGACCAATAGACCGAGGAACCCAGATGCTAACCAGGACAGTGTGCTCCCAGACCTCTGTTCTTAGGGAGGGGCCTCACAGTGGGAGCTCTAGGGCTGAGGGACAACTTAGGCAGAGGAAGCATGCATATCTAACCTCCTGGAGCCTCCATTCAACACTCAATCGGAATACCAGCCAACACCAGCAGGGGTCGCAGGCTTCAGAGTTACCCATGGCATTTGCCTGGCTAGTGGTTCCTCTCCATAAAGCACAAACCATGATTCATAAAGATGAACGTAAGCTTGCAAATTGGTAGTGCTTGGCTTCCCTTCAGCCTGAGAAGTATCAGTTTGGTATTTGGGAGGTTGAATGTAGAGAACATCTAATGGGAGACACCCATAGGTGCCTGGAGCTCAAGAAACTGGGAGAAGAACCATGGGAGGGGGTGGCCAGGCTGTGGTAGAGAAGGAAGGGCAGAGGACAGAGCACATAAAGGGATGAGCAGAAGAGACAGACTCAGAGAGGGAGAGTGAGGGGGAGGCTCCTGAGCCCCAGGGCTACCCATTCTCCCCATCTCCCCAACCACCACCCTCATCCAAGCTGATAAACTATGAAGCTTCCAGAAGAAAGCACAGGAGACTATTTTAGTGACTTTGGGGTTCACAAAGACTTCTTAAGTAGGACACAAAATGCACCAATCATAAAAGTAAAGATTGGTAAACTGGACTCAAAAGATAGCATTAAGAGTAATGAGGCAAGCGAGACTGAATAAAGATACTTATACTACACGTATTACGTAAAGGACTAGCACCCAGGATATATAAAGTGCTAATAGGAAACCAGAAAAAAAAAGGCTGACAATCCAATAAAAATGTACAAAGATTGAACACTTTTCACAAAGGACATCCGAATGGCCATCGTATTTTTCGTCATGAAAATGTCACAGAAATCATGAGCTATCACTCACGCTTGCTTTAGCTCTGTCTTTGATTTTCTGTATTCTGAAAAAGAAGGGATGCTGCCAGCCTACTGCCTTTGGACTCAAGTGGAAGCTCTGCCTCCTTGGGTCTGCAGCCCGCCAGCCTGCCTGCAGGCTGTGGACTCACCAGCCCCCCAATCGCATGGGCCAATCAAGCTCTCCTCTGCCCTGGCTCCAAGCCTACCAGCCACCTGCTCTGGCTCCCCACGACTCTCCAGGCCCTCATCCCTCTGGCCTGAGGTGGTCCAGACTTCATGGGACAGGCGAGACCTGGCGGTGGCCCTGGCACTGTGAAGGCAAATGCCAGACAGCCCTGGGATGCAGTGTTTGTGCCCTGCTCCATGTTACATCTTGTGAAGTTCACCCCAGTCAGCATCAAGAGGCCAGGGGCTCGGCAGACACCAGTACACTGGAACCCTGGCTACAGGGGCCCCCTGGCAATGCTGTTAATGGAGAAGTGGTGAGATGGGAGGGTTAGCTCCTTGTGAAAGGAAGGCTGGGCATAAGAAAATCGCCTTTGCTTATGTGCAGGTTGAATCATAAGGGCATGCCAGTACCCTTTTGACCTGCACAGCAACTTCATATGGTTCAATGCACTATTTGCTTAAACATGGCTGAAAGGACATGCAGGAAATAATAAAACTCATCACAGCGCTGCCTGTGGCTTCCTGGCCAACAGCCTGGCAGGAGGTGCGCAGGAACTGGGCATTGAGATTTCTCTGTTTAGCTAGAGTTGTGATTCCTGTGAGCGTTTCCGGGAGGGAGGAGTGACTAGGTGACCCAGCAGCTCAGCATAGGAACCAGGTGGGGTGGGTGGGGGACAGCTTCGGCCTTGCAGGCAAAGGCGTGGAGAATCAGGTTTGCACTGGTATGTGGATCGACGTGGGGTTTCTGTTGGTGCCTCACTGTGTTTCTTAAAAGATTTGAAAGAGACTGTCACACTGAAATCCGGGTAATTTTATCAAGAAGTCTAGATGTCTGGCTTCTCTTGAACAGCTCTGGAGCTCTGGCCCTTGGGCCAGCACTCCCTGGCCACAGAGGACCCGCAGGGGGCATGTGCCATCCTGTTCCCTGTGCCCATCTGGCTGCCCTCGTCTGTTCACATTTGACTAGTCTATTAGCACTCTAATGGGCTAACCCAGGCTTACTAATAGTACATTTACTGAATCAGGCAGAAACAAGCCTTTCTTTAGAAAACCTCTTGATTTTCCAGCTTAAGTCAGACTATGTGCCCTCCTCCTACTCTCCCCGCTCAGGGTCTGGGCCTAATCTGGGTGCCCCTGGCTGGAGCCATTGGGGAGCACCGCCCACCAGGCTCCAGCCACTTTTGCAGCTCCCCCAGCCCACTCACTTTTTGGAGTCCGACCCAGGCTGATGGTCATGATGGCCGGAGCTGGTCAGCACCTGCCCTACCTGGATCACCTTCAGCACTTTCCAGGGCTTCCTTGGGCTTTGCACTTCTGGGGGAAGCAGAGGAGGAGTTTCTATTTGCCCCAACCCAGGGCGGGGCCCCTCCAGCCGGGGCAGCCACATACCTTTGGAGCTTATCTTGCCCTTGGTCCCCGGTCCTATAGAAAGAAAGGGAGAGGTCCCTGATGGCCTTGGCTGGAACCAGGCCTGCGGCAACATTGCTTGGGGCACAGGGTTCCCTGGGACCCCTCAGTGGCAGAAGGAGGCAGGTGCATAGGAGAAAACCCCTTGGGTTTGAGTTGAGAGCCAGCCCCATTTCCCCAAGCAGGTGCTTGTGCTGAGCCACGGGTGGTCAAGGGGCGGCTGCCCCAGCTGGAGCTCTGCAGAGTGTAGAAGTGAGCAGTCCCTCGGCCTGGACACTTCCAAGGCCTATGCTGGTGGGCACAGGGTGCAGATGGACCCAGGGAGCTATCTTCTCTTTTCAGCTACCTTTGTCACCTTGTGACAACTGAGCGTTCTCCTTGGCCTTGGCGGCCTCCTTGGCCTGTCTGAGAGCCAAGTGCTTCTTCTCTTGTTCCTCCAGCCAGTCCTTGGGCGACAGCTTGTACAGGAAATTCTTGCAGACCTTGTAATGTTGCAGAGTGTCTTCAAATCTGGAGATTTCGCTGAGCCGGAGGAGGGGACAACGAGGTCAGGCTCTGCCCACTGGGAAGCCCCTCCAGAGGGACCCCAATGCACCCTGGTCAAAAAGGGCGGGCACAGAAGCACTGTTGTGCCAGGGAGAGGATGCTCACCTTGCAGGAGCCAATCCCTCCCAGAGTGACAGCCCTCAGGGACTGTCTTGCCCCTCCCAGGGTGGAGCCCAGAATCCTCAGACCCATGTGAGCCCTATGTCCTGGTGGTGTGGCCTTGGGAAAGTCAGTGAACCTCTCCTGGCCTCAGTCACCTCATCTGTAAGATGGGCAGCAGCCTGTAGGGATTTGAAGCCCTGAGACGTTTAGAGCAAAGTGAAATGATGAGCTTTGTGTTGTGGGGAAGCACCCTTTGGCCAGGGGAGAAGTGATGAAGGGAAATGTGGGCAGGCTAGCCCAGGCCAAGTTTGCCTCTGACCTTACCTATAAAAATATATCTATATCTATCTATATCTATGTCTATCTATATATCTATATCTATATCTATATCTATATCTATATCTATATCTATATCTATATCTATATCTATATCTATATCTATATGCTGAGTGGCCAGATTACTATGACCATCTGATGTTTGTAGGCAAATTAGCTATAATTTCGCGCTGAAGTTGCTAGAGGGCCAGACCATTATAAATAGGGAAGCAGGTTGTTTACCACGACAGAAGTGATTTTTTTTTCTGAAGATATGGGTAAACAATGTGATTTAACAGCCTTTGAATGTGGGATGGAGAT